CTGAGCAGCCCGGTCTGGGTTGCAGGGTGCAGCGTGGGTTGGACTCCCAGACCGCCATTAGTTGCCACCACAGTTTGTAGCTGGTTAGAGCATTTGCCACTTCTCCAGTCCATCAAGGGTAGTATATTACCACAGAAATCCTATGACAAAACTCTTAATTTGCAACTTTCACATTTTTACCACTTAATTCCCTTGGAGGTTTTTACCTCAGGAGCACTGTGAATTAACCTGACAGTTTAAATAACTGTGCACGTTTCCTATTGTAGTAAGACTGCAGGAAGAGAACATGAAAGTTAAACTTGTTCTATATGTGTCATTTGGACAATGTACACCCAATTCCTTAGATGTCTGTTATTGCTAAGGAATGAAAAATGACGTGTGCCTCTGCCTGCCATGAGGTCCTCCGCAGAGATCGAAACACTTTTATTGAAGCTCGTAAGCTTGGATGCAAACAGGAGCTAATGTGCCTGGTGTAGTCGTGGGGCTGGGATGGATCACCCTGCTGCTACAACAAGAGCTTGTACTCTGCTGTCAAGTGCTGCCCGGTGTGGACTTGAGCAAAACAAAGCAAATGAGAAAATAATACACGTTGACCCATTTTGGTGACTGGGAGCACATATTAGTCAATTTGTAATAGTGTCACTTCCCTGGAAGAGACAGCAGCAGTTTAAAACCGGAATATCCATCAACATGTCTGAATTGTATTATGTGGGTCTTGGTCCTCTTGCATCTTACTTCTCCGCCTTTTTTTTTTTCCCTTGGTCTACCTTGTGTGGCTCTGACTGTTTCTCTTCCTAATGTTGCTTCAGAGAGTGCTTTCTAATGCTGATGTCTCCTGCTGCTGTTAAATTGAAAGTATTGTAGCTATCATACTGTAGACAAAATGTTTTGGATTTAATCATTGATGTTTACCATTTGCCCATAATTCCTTTTTGCCAAAGATGGCACAAAGGTTAACAGGGTATCAGGTCATCTCCTCCATTTGGGAAAGCTCTGCCACCATCCTGGCCGTAAGAGCATCTCTCTATCTAGTTCAGGCAAACGCATGGTGTCTGACCACTGCACGCTTGCCATGATTAGTGACAAAGGAGCTCTGGTACTTCCCTTCACCAGTGGACAGCAGAGAAACTAAGAGCTGACCTCCCAAAAGTAGCAGAAAACTCTGTATCACAAAAAGGACCTGAAATCTGCCCTCTCCATTTCAAAACTGTTTCCTTTCTCCAGCCTGGGTCCTCTTCTCTTTAAAAAAAAACTCATGGAAATTACATACTTTGAAGCTGCACATTGCATTAGAGGCTTTTTTTCCTCGCTATTGAGAGCCTGGCCACAGCTGTCTCTCTGTCCAAAGATGCTCAGTTCAGCTGTAATCATTATCGGCTATAATAAGATTTTTGGCTTCTCCATCCAGGCAATAGAGATTGCATGACCCACACAATAGGTGTAATTATTGGCAGGATGGGTTGCTGAGCTAGCAGCCTTCCCAACGATTTTGGTCTTTTTTCCAAACACTTGAATCGTGTAGGTCACAATTACTTAATATTAAATACTGATTTATTTTAGTAATAGTTTTACAACAACAACGTGTCACCTGATCTAGGGGGGTGGTGGTCTTTTTTTCCCCTGGTTACAAGGATTCTTTGATGTAGGTGGGCTCTTACCTTCAGAAATACTGCTGTCATGGGTGCCAGGTCTGAGACCCTTTGGCTTCGGTTCCTCCCTGCCTGCCTGGTGGGGTGGTCGTTTGTCTGTGGTGGAGCTGTGGTATCTGGGGATGAGCACCTGTAAGCATTCTTCTGTCCTGACTTAAAAGGCTCTTACAGTTACGTACTGGTGCGGTAATCAGAAATCAGAAGGTGTTGGGGAATATCGCTCTGCATGCCTGACTGCTGGTGTCTGTTCTTTGGGGCTGTGTTTTCAATCCTCTCGTGAGAGTGCCTGCTTTTTCTGAATGAAAGCAATGGAGAGCTATGAAGGGTTGCAGAGGATCTCTGCGGCAGCTTCAGATCTGTCTAAATAATGGTTCCATCCAGCATGCGAAAGCCCTTTGGTCTCGACACTATAAAATATATCCTCTCCTGTTCTGCTGTGTCAAAGTGTTAGCCTCTTGAAGGGATGCCGTGGAGGGAATGCATAAATTTTCAAATGACAAATCTTGGAGCTTTGTAACAGTTTGTGGGTTGGTTTGGCTTTTTTTTTTTTTTTAATTTTCTCTCAATGATTTCTCAAAAGTTGCCACATCCTTATTTAACAAGAGACATCGGAGTCTCTTGTGGGAGATTCGAAGTAGCTTGGCTTGGCATGATGGAGTGCCAGGGAGGGCACGGGTACTTTCCAGGAGCAGCTAAAGACTTTAAATTCTCCTTAGGCGTGGTGCCAGGATGGAGAGATTTTTCCTCAACAGAGCCGTACCGATGGTTTCCCCTCAGTTTCGAGCTGCCTGCGGGTGCCCTGTGCTTGGGAGTTGCCTTGGCCCCGCTCGTGGAGCTGGAGTCTGGGACCCTGGGAGGGTTGTGCTTTTAACCCACGTGTAATCCATGCAGGTGGGGCATCTCGGGAAGGATAGATAACTCTGCTCATGGATTTCTGTTAATTCCATCTAATTTTGACTGGGGAAAATAAGAGCAACATTATCCTGGTTCGGCTAAAACAGGACCGATTCACCTTTCAGTAGCTTCTCCTTCAGTCAGGTTTCTTCTAAGTAATTGCACCTTCTAAAGTTGGCTACTTGTTTTTCAGACACTCGATGTTTATAGTTGTTACTGAAGTATCGGTAGGATTGGTATGCAGAAAGGCCGACGTTTATACTTGTTCCTATGAGAACCAAGGTCACTGCTGGCCCTTTTATGTTAAACGAGTGAAAACTCACAACATGGTCACACCTGCAAGAAAGTGGGGATGGGACAGATGATCAAAAACTGACCACCGAGGTATTCCATTCCATCCGTGTCATAGTCACTATAAAGCTAAGGAATCACGGGGGTTGGCACTCCTTCTTGCATGACCGGCATCCCTGTGGGACCCTGCTCGTTCTCCTGCCTCCAATCCGTGTATTCCTGAATCCAGTTCCTTTCTGCTGCGAGTGTGGGCTAAAACTTGGGAGTTATTGTTCTGTTTTATTCTTCTCAGCCTTTCCTCTTCACCATTTTATTTCTTCCCACTGAAACCAACCTTTTTAATTGTTACTGTTTTATTAAAGTTGTTTTAATTTTCCAGCTCATCATTCTCTGTCCCTCTCTCCTTTAGGAGTTAACAGAGAGCATCCCCACAATCCCTGGCTTAGGACGCCGGTGCCTTATCCATTAGGCCATTGGGGCATCTGTCTTAGGAACTGGGCTGGCAATTAAAGCAGATGACAGCATTTAAAAATGTTTAAATTCTTCGAACTTATTAGCCATGAGACTTTCTTTCCTCATTTAAAAATGAAGTTTACCTTTAAAAATCAGTATTGTTTTCTTTTAAAGAAAACAATCAAGTTGTAATAAATGTAAACCAAAATGAAGCATTCTGTGCGAGTCAGAGAAAAAATTGAGAGTTATTATTCTGTTTTATTCTTTCTCAGCCTTTCCTTTTCACCATTTTATTTCTTCCCACCAAAACCAATTTTTTTTTCCCCGGGGTTTTTGGATCAGCTAGTACCAACAGACTTGGCTTGACTTCAGGCAACCTCTGTGTCTCAGCTTCTCTTCGTCTAAAATAAGGAAAAATGATCCTGACCTACTTTGTAAAGTGCTCAGAGATCTGCAGAAGAGCCACATTTTTCAATTTTAAAACCGTGCATTTGGTCTTCACGGACGTTCCGTGGTTTTCCTCCAGGTGTTTGTATGTCTGCCTTGCCGTGGTTTCGGATGGTTATGTTGTCCTTTGGCAGACTGCAGGCAGGCAGCGCGTGCTGATGGTGGATAAGATCCTCCTCTACATTCTTTCCCTGAGAACGCCTTCTCTATTACTTCATCAGTACTTTTAAATCTGTATTTTAAAGCTTATCTGTGAATATCTCCTTTCTCCTGCTGTCTTTTAATTAACTCAACCCCACTGCTTTCTTATTATGCATCTCTGATACTTTATTAATTAACGCACTGTGCAGTATACAGAGGAAGTTGGTATCTAAGATGCCATAAAAATGAAAGTTTCATTGAGAAACTAAATAATGAAGGCAAAAGTTGTGTTTTCGTCTGCCAACAATGACAAGCAGAATGTCACTGGAGATGGAAGTATTTTTTTTTTCTCTCAAACAAGCTATGTAACTGTAATGTGTGAACTGTGGTAAAAGTGAATATTCCTTTGGTATGGATGTATTTATCCCTGTTACTGTGTTGATACTATTTTTGCAATGTTACCTGTGTATTTATGAGAAGTCCAGTTCACAGGCATGTACTTTATCTTGGGGCTTCAATTGCTTGGGCTGTTCCGTCCCATTTGGTGATGGGCATTTGAATGAGTGAGGATTTTCTTGAACAATCTTTGCTTTGCCAATATCTCAACTCCTTTGCTGTTCCTATTCCAGATAAGTTGTTTAGTGAAAGCATTTTCCCTCAATATCCTTCAACTTGCAAAACTGAAAAGAATCTCAGCTCTTCAGCAAGATAAAGTTTGTCTAATACACTGTTAACATTACTTGCCTTTCAGCCTGTTGTTGTTCTTTTTTAAACCAGTTTAAGCTTGTTCAGGTTGTTGTTTGTTTGCTGGGCTTTTTTTAATCCCTTGACTGACTGGTTTATTTGTTTATTTTACTTTTCTATGATATTGGTTTTGCCCATCTGTTTAATCCGTGACTCTACCCAGGCACGCAGACGGTGTGTATTGCAATGAGTGCTGTATACAAAAAAAATAGTCCTATGAATCCGTCAAGAAGCTTGACATGAAGATTAAGTGCTCCATAAGGGCAGCGATCTGCTCGGAGAGTTTCTCTCCCTCCCAGGCTCCCCTTCCAGCCATGTGTATTTCCCACTGCCTTTCCTGTGCTCTCTTCTGACATAGTCCTTTTCTTCTTTCTTGAACAGGTGGGCTCTGCATTGCTCAGTCCCTGAAAATCCCCCAGGATCGCAAGGACAAGACCATCGACTTCGATAAAATTATCAAGCAGCTCCTCGAAACTCCCAATGCCAGGGCCATCGTTATTTTTGCCAATGATGAGGACATAAAGTAAGGATGACTGAGGGAATTAATTCAGTTGTGCTTGATAGCTATGCAGAAAAGAGAAGGCAAATCAGAATATGAATAATGAAGTGGAAATGTCTGTTGGTAAGAGCGACATGGGGATGTGGAGTTTGCACTGCGGAGGGTAGCACCAGGCACGGAGGTGCTGCTCTTGCTGCCCTGTCTTCTGTGGTGCCCCAGACCATGCATCGCAGTAGTGGGGGGACAGGAGTGTTGGTCAAGGTCTGGAAGCTTTTCCTGGCATAGGGTTACTCATGCTTTGGATGGCAAACCTGACCTTACCTCTCCAAGAGGCATTAAGAAGATGCCCCTCCCTCCAAGCTCATACTACTGTGTATTATTCATTAATTCAAAGTCTGGTTTATGGCAAATCACAGTTACTAGTGAGAAAATAACTTGGATGCTCCAGGTTAAACCACATAAGCTGCTCAAGGTTTAGCCACATACAACTTGCTCATAAAATGATATAAAGAATATATTTAAAGTGTGACCTTCATTTCTCACTTGCCCATGATCCATATTCTCTCTCCAGAATTTAAAATTAGCTTAAGATTATGATGGCATTGTCAGTTGCTGCAAGGCTCAGTTTTACAAAACTTACAAAAGACACAAAGTTAGGATAAAGTTTCACTAAAGTCAATGGCAAAACAATAAGTTTTAGTGGAATCAGTATTTCAGTCTTAGGATATATGGTGAATTAAGAGAGGTCCAATCTGTGCTGCATGGATTGTTATTCATGTGTTGTGAAATTCCTGAGCTCTGGTTACAGGAATATGCTATTTCTGTTCATTCTGCAGTTGCAACACACCATTTTTTCCCAAGCAATTACATGTTTAAAAGAAATTAATTTGTGGACAAAATGTTCTTTTCCGCAGGCAAATCCTTGCAGCCGCTAAGAGGGCAGATCAAGTTGGTCATTTCCTATGGGTGGGCTCGGACACGTGGGGATCCAAGGTGAGCCCGTTAAAGGAGGTCGCCGAGGGAGCCATCACCATCCTGCCCAAGCGAGCGACCATCGAGGGTAAGAGCTCTCTTCTGCTTGACTCTCTCTCCTGCTTCCTGAAAATACAAAATTGATTGCCCCTAATTTTTTCTCGTGTGTGTTTCGTGAATAAATGTGTACAGACATGGTATGTTGCAAAAAAGTATGAAGTACATTGAGTAAGTCTTCATCTCCTGAAATTTTCCTAAATGTCTGTGTTCCTCATCTGAAAACTACACGTTATTTGCACAGTTGAGAAGCTACCAGCAGTTACTTATTAAAGGCACGATTTCAGAGCGTATATTAAGCTGTGGTGATATGACAGGGCCTTTACCACTTAAAAGAGAGTAAACTAAAATGATCTTAACATATCATGTATATACATAGGAAGAGAAAAATCTTTTGCAATTTATGTATCGTCTCTGAAGCAGTGGATAAGTTTCCTACTGAAGAAGTAAAAATTCATTTTTAAATCAGCAGTTCCCATTTAAACTTAGCTTGGCCTTTATTTCATTCAGATCAAGCACTGTATTTATTTATACATATTGCTTGTGTGCTTCATGAATATATGTACTTGTACATATGCATATGTATCTAAAATTATGGGACCCTGTTTTACATAATCCCTTCGTTTCCCAACATTTCTTTGTGTTCTGAAGTGTTTGTTGCCTGATCTTTGCTCCATTTGTTATCCCTTTTTCTGTGTAGATGCTTAATGATCCAAATGGCTTCCTCTGGGCAAACCAAACTTGTTGATTAGAGTCCGTGCTCTCTATAATATGAAAAGAAAAGTTCTTTACAAGGGAGACACTGAGTAAAGAAAACAAACTCCTCGGCTGGCACATGGCATTGTGTTGGGCAGGGTCTCCAAAGAGTCCTTGAACATGTTGCCCACATTAAAATAAGTTCTGGTGTCTTCACTTGCTGGAAAGCCGAGTATTTACATTCGTTTTTACTGTGTCTACACTACCACCTCATTAGTTATTCTTCTCAGGTATATAGTGTGCTTCATCCTTTTACGTTTTTTTAAACCCCGGAGGCATTTTCGCATGTTATTTCTCCATAAGTACGTAAAGTTGATAGACAATGAAGTGTTTTGTTTCTGAAAACCAGGATATTTTAATAATCTTTTCATACTGTCTGTATTCATCCCTGAGGGTTTCTGACACAGAAGCAAAAAATCTGCCAACAGTATACAGAAAGAAAAACTTTCCAAGTTTGTTTGTTTTAAAATATTTTTCTTCTATATTACACATTAAACTCATTGGACATAATGGGAAACGTGAGTTTTGCTTTTGGACACAGTAAGTAATGATAAAAGAGTTGAAGGGTTCAGGTGTAGAAAGTCGGTTAAATAACAGTCACAAATGTCAGCGTATTTAGTGTATCTGCAAAAAACCATGTCCATTGAGCCCGCAAATACCTTCTTACTCAGTGAATACATTAGGCTATTGCCTAAGACTTGGCTAGTTGCACTTTGCACTTGTAGTCACGTAGATTGCATGATTACTTTTTTGTGATGCTTACATTAGCTTTTGCCTATACAGATATTGTTTTAATTCATCAGGAATGGCTGCCATAGAGCAGATAGATATTTTGAGGTCTGTGAGTGGCACGTTACTTCCCAGCAAGGGAAAAACCCTCAGCCAGAAGTAGGCTCTGTACTTGCTCTGAATGGAGAGGCAGAGCAACGTGTCCCACCATAGCAGTTGCACTGTCGGTAGCAAATGTTTCCTGCCTGTTCTGTGACCACTCAGAAAGATTCAGGCTGGTTCTTACCTTTTTCAATCGCATTCATCCATCCCTAATTGCCATCTGCATCTGCCATCTGCTTGGTCCTGTTAGGAGGAAGAGTAAAGGGATGGTTAAGAGCGTAAAGCAAATTCCCATTCTCCTGAAGCAGTTTTCCAGAACTCAACATTTCCCCTTTCAGACCGATTCCATTCCTGTTTCATCCACTAAGAGAAACATCCAGTGAAATCTGTTCCTTACAGAAGTAAGTAATCCTTAGGTATTAGCATTTCTTTGCTTAGTGAGGCTGTTATCCGTATGGATTGTCTGCCTTTCTTGCATTTAGACTGCTGCATGTTGTTTTGTTTTTCTTTCTGTTGTTGTAGTAATTGCATTTGGCTATGAATCCAAGAGAGCTGGAAACAGACATTTTAATGTTATTCTTTTATCATCCAGCAATGAACATCTGCTTCCTAAAATTTAGTAATGCTTTTCTTTTGATGAAGACATAAAATAAATGAAATAAGAAGCCTTGATTTTCCCTATAAATTGCTGCAAACAAACTAAATTACCAGAATGGAACTCAGCTTGCCCTGAAGGACTGTGTCTTGAGCAGTATCCCAGCCTAACAGTCTCCTTTTTGTGCGGCGCTGTGCGGCGGTGCTGTGCCTGCCCCGGCGGCTCCCGGGCTCCCGGTCAAGGCAACAGTTAAGCACCAGCATAATTCCCGCTAGGCTTGGTGAGAACTTCTTTATTAGTCATGAGTGGGGGCGTTACTCTTATTTTACTCCTCAAAGGCATCTTGTCTTTTTTTCCTTTTCCTTTTATCACTGTGTTAAATAGTATTTGTAATATGTTAGAAGAAGATGCCTAACGAACTTTACTGGAAGCAGAGAACACTGTGGCTGCCATGCCTTGACCTGAGATGTGTGATACTGCTAGCCTCTTCTCACGCTTCAGGGAAAAATGTTAGGTTAGTAAGCCAAGAAATGTTAAACTGCATTGAAAATCTATGTGCCTGCATGTTCAAGTGTGTGTGGTACACTTAGATTATCAGATATTTTTATGCCTGTACAGCTATCGGTCATATAAATCATAAACTGAAACAGTCATTATATAGAAAAAGGCATTTTTGAAATAACTCTTCTCCCCCAGCCCTGACTTTTCAATTCAAAATACAGATGTGAAACGCAGATGTGTTGGTGTGTTTACACCTATCTACATATATCCCACTTGAAGTTCCTATTTTTTTGGTAGCAGCGGGAATATCCCAGCAGCCTCCGACTCCAGAGAGAGTCTAAAGTGCTCTGTTTCTTGTAGAATCAGGCCCCGGATATGCAGTTATTTGTCTTGATACTTGATGTCACTCTTGGGACAAAATTTTCTTTGCCATAGTCCCATGGGGTGATTTAGACAATCATTACATGAACTGAATTCATTCATCTTAAGTCAGTCTTGATATAGCCCGATTGTGTTTGATGTAATTATGCTGAAAGGATAAAGTTGCATCTTATTTGCATAAACGCAGTAGACAGTGAGCCAGGGGAAGTGCACACTTAAATAGTAATCACTTCATGAAAAGTTGTGTTTGGAACAAGCTCCATAGCCAACTTCACCAAGTGTCAACTAAGTTGAAAGGCTTTCCGAGGTTTTCAGGGAAAAAAAGCACAACGTGTTTATTTTTAGAACAGCTATGGCAGCAGAATATTGTATTCTGGTTATTGTTGCTTTGAACTCTTCCAAAAAAAGGTTGTGATTGTGTGTCCTCATGCTTGGAGAAGATTACTAAAACATTAACCCAGTCCTGAAACTCGGCATACGCTCAGAGGCACCAGCACAGTGCGTTGTGTTGCAGAACTGCAAGTACCCGTGCTTATGTGTGTAAGAGTTTGCAGTGCTATGCCTTATTTTGAATAGTCGTTTTCTCAGAGTATATACTTGTAACATTTTTGTGAAGAGGTGTAATGCAACCATAGAGTGAGTGTTAGTGCTGGAAGATGAGAAAAATTAAACAATTTAAACAACAGACAAAAGCTGTATTTTCTAATTAAAGTTTGAATGAGATGTAGTAGTAGTAGCACTATTATATTCATTTTATGATAATACAGAAATGATGAGCATCTGTGGCTCTGCATACATTTGACATTCATTAAAACAACACCACAACGGAAAAAAAAAACACAAAAAATCTTTCTTCTCCAAAATGTATTTGGTGGGATTTTACCTACTGCTGCTTTGTTCCCCAGAAACCCTTGTTCTTCTTCATTCACCTGAATAGAAGGATAAACGCTGCACATGGGGGAGATTCCTGTGTCAGTCTGGTGTAAAGAACAGAAAGAGTGCCCTGCTAATCACGGGAAGGGTGAAATGCCACGAAGGGGAGCAAGTGTGAGCTACAGGAGGATTTTGGGCAAGCAAAAGCAGGCCATTATGGAGTAATGTTGCTATCAGGATCATGGTAAATATGGGAGATGTTGAGGCAAGTGTAACAAGTCCCCAAAATTTCAATTGCCAGAGGGAAGGTGGAAGCATGGTGGAAAATAAAAAGAAAGGTTGAGACTTCAAAACCCAATGTTTTGTTCTTGCAGTTCAGCTGACCTACTTGCCTCCAGACTAGCAAAGTACTGTAGGTGGTTGTCTTTTCCTAACACAGCGATCGTTGAAGAGACAGTTGTTCATTTGTTGCATTTTTCATTTGAAGTCCCAGAAGCTTTGTAGACCATCCAAACCAGCATGAAACAAAATATGGAAACACTCCGTGGATTCTTGTGGGCTGGACCATCATTCCAGCTACGGACTTCCCCAGATGATGGCTGGGATGAACTGCAACTCTATTTCTTTGTAGATGGAATTGAACTTCTTCCACACTAATCTTTTTAATCACAAACTGACCTTTAAGTATTCCACTGCCACTTTACCTCTTCAAGTTTCAGTAGACTTAATAAACTTCAGAGCATTTCCTCCTCTTGTTATTGCTACTATATGCAAATCTAATTATACATTTTAACTGCCTGGGGTAGCCCTCTTTATTACACCATATAGATGTGTGTAAGATGACCTTCTGATTAAAGATGATATTACTACTGGTCCAGACATCAATTAAAGTTCTCCCTAGCAGGCAGATTCAAAGTCAGGAGTTCCTAAATTCTTTCCATGGAGGAAGAGCAGGTCTTTCTGCCAGTGATAAGAAAATAACTGTGGTATGAGGGATGGAAAAGCCTGATCCTTTTGGAGCAGGTTTGTGCAGCGCTTGCTGAATTCAATATGGAAAGCTGTTAGACAATGCATGTCCAGAAGATACTCAAGTC